AAGACTCACAAGAAATATGTAACAATATGCTTTTAAATTTGTCTCTGAAATAGCCTTACAATTTTGAACAGTCGGTGTGTGCATGTGTGTATGTAAATGTATAAATCTGATTTGCACTGATTTGAATGAGCTATTGTCACAATATTTATTTCCTGAATTCCTTCTCAACATCAGTGTAACTTTCTCATCCTGTTTCTGACCACATACCCATACTGCATTGTTAGCTTATGATTACAGAGAAGGGTAGGGCTGCTGGAAGGAGTTATTCTTGTTTGCCCTTTAGCAGTGCCAAGCAAGAATTATTTGTTCTTGTAGCCGTAGCCATGTAATGCAAACTTATAGAAGGTAAGAAATGAAGAATTAATTTGCTAAATTTTAGCATGAGTTCACCTGACAAATAAATTACATAGGATTACTGTCCTATGTTTAATAGTCAGGATTTTGTCAAGCACTCAATTTGTTCAAATTCATTTCATTATTGACGATGTTTTATTGTAATGTATGAATCACGGAATGAATACTTTTACATCAAAGACAGCCGCCTCTCTCTCTGCACAGTATTAAGTTGTAGGTTGGAGACAGTGAAGGGGTTGTGATGTGGGTTGAGAAATGTGTGGGGGTTTCAAGAGGGGCTGCATGGGTCAGGGAAGGTGCCCAGGAGGAACACCAATTGGAAAGAGTGCGTGGGGATGTGTGAGAGATGGATCAGGGAAGGCACAGGGGTGGATAGCACAGGTCAGAGGAATGCACAGGTGACACAGGCCGGGAAAAGTTTGTGGGGTTCATTCATCCCTGTTTGTCCCTTCCTTTTCCAGCAGGCAAGTAAGTGGCTGCTACTGAGTGCTAAACGGGAGAGGAAGTGAGGGATTGTGAGACTGACTGGGAAACTGTCACCAAATATTGAAAATGAAGATTACATGACTACAGCAGCAGCAGCCCAGCAATAGTCAGTAGCACTGAAGCAGCCAGAACTTTCCCAAATTTCATTCCCTTTGGAATGATAGGTCTAGGATTGATGATATGATGCACTGTTTCCCTCAGGTAAAGGTTGTGACAATGACAGTTTTAGTAATATAAAGAAACGCAGTGACCTGGGTAGATTTGTCTTTTCTTAATGCAATAAATACAGATTTAAAACTGTATTTATTGCATTTCTGAGAAAAAGGAGAATATAAAGCAGCCTTCTCCAGTCTCGTGTCATGTCTGTCTATCTCTGCCATCTATGTCTGTCTGTCTATCTGTCTACCTACCTATCTACCTCCTACCTACCTACCTATCATTAAAACTGATTTCACTAACCTTTAACTGTGTGAAATGATGTACCACAGGACTATGGGCTATCTTACAGAATGCATCCAAAATCCATAACCCATGGCTCTCATGGAATTCAAATTTGGCAAATTTTATAAAACATTTTATGACATAAACATTACCATAAAGTAATTTATGACATAAAACTTTTCCTGTGGTCAGCTGCAGTGGTGGGTTCGGACCGGTTCACAAGAACCAGTAGTAAAACCGATGGGAGGCTCCACCCACCACCTCGAATGTCATCATAGGCAATCTGCGCATGTGCAGTAGCTTCTGCGCATGCGCAGCTTGGCGCATGTGCACGCGTGAAGCGATCACGCACACGATCCCGTTGTAAAGGCAATCGAACCAATAAATAAGTAGAACTCACCCCTGGTCAGCTGGTGATGTTCCACTGTGCTATACAGTTCAACATGGGCTGCTTTCAAGGCAGATGCATCTCTGAATATCTTCTTGAACTTTTTTTTTTTAAATTTTCTACTACATTAGAAACTGCCATTTTTGCAGGCATTGAGAAATCTGGTAAGGAAATATCTCTGAATAGGTGACCCAATGGAGCATGGGTTGTCCAGTTGCATATACAATATAATCTCTAGCTATGGGACTAATGGGAATTGTAGTCCAACCCATTGAGGAATAAGACAAGTGTAAAAAGAGTGTGCCAAGTATATGGTGCTTTTCTCCTCCCTAAATGGAAGCTGAGAGTCCCAGACAATATAGAGTATCCAGTGAACTGACTGCACTGAACAAACAATATTACATTTGTATCTGGCCAGCATCCAAAACAATCCAAGTGTAAAGATGAGGCCATCTAGTTTCAACCTCCCCCTCCCCCCCAGTTGTCCCAGTATTTCCATTGGTCACAGGTTTGCATATACTTGGCATGCAAAACCGAGTTGCATCAGGTGCCCTCCTAGCTGGAACACAGAATCAGTTCCTTTGCAAAAATGTAATTCAGAGTCAGCCACTATGCCAGTAGCAAGGCACAGATCATCCTCTGCTCCCTCCTATACTTCCAAAGAAATTAGCCATTAAAAGAAAAGGTATACATAGGGACAAATAATATGCAAGAAAATGTAGCCAGAGCAAAATGTAGCTTCTTCCCTATATGCTGGAATTTCAGTTCAAACTAGCTTTCATTGCCTGTTGCATAGACAGAGATCTGGCTGGGATAGGATAGGAGCTATGCACTGAGTGCACTGAAATGCTGGGAGCTGAGATGTCATTGGCTTTTGGACAATCTGAGCAGGATTAGAAGACAGTCATTATGGTAATAAACTTAAATCATTTTAGTGAAAGTCCCTAGGATTGAATCAAAAATCAATAGTGAGGGAAGCTGCTTGTAAAGCACTATTTCTACCTTATGTTTTGCTAAATCACATTCAAAAGAGTGCATATTTTGCACTCTTTTTTATAAAACTAAATGTTTGAGGGGAATGTATATAAAATTAACATATGCTTTGTTGTGTGACTGAGACTGATGTGGGAACAGAGCAATACAGACATAAATCTAAGAAATTAAGAAATTTGACATTCATAGTTAGTTTTACTTCTCCCAACATCCATCTGAAGCTTTGGATGGTAGCAAAGGCTGGCTGGTTGACTAAATTATTGGCACTAATTGAGTGTCTGAAACTGAGGGAAATGTAAGAAGTCAATAATATGCCAGAGTTTCTCCAGTCTGTAAAATATATTTGGAAACTAGAATGTTGTTGTTCCTTAGTAAGACCATACCTGAAATACTGCATCCACTTTTGGTCACTACATTGCAAAAAAGATGTTGAGACTTTGGAAAAAGGGCAAAGAAGAGCAACTAAGGTGATTAAGGGCCTGGAGATAAAAGTATATGAAGAATGGTTGCAGAAATTGGGTATGGCCAGTCTAAAGAAAAGAAGGACTAAGGATGACATGATAGCAGTATTCCAGTATTTGAAGGGCTGCCAAAAGAAGAGGGGGTCAACCTGTTTTCCAAAGTACCAGAAGGCAAGAGAAGAAACAATGGATGGAAACGAATCAAGGAGAGAAGCAACCTGGAATTAAGGAGAAACTTCCTAACAGTGAGGATGATTAACCAGTGGAACAGTTTGCCTTCAGAAGTTGCAGGTGCCTCATCACTGAAGGTTTTAAAGAAAAGACTGGACAGTCACCTGTCTGAAGTGGTATAGGGTCTCCTGCTTGAGCAGTGGGTTGGATTAGAAGACCTCCAAGGTCCCTTCCAGCTCTATTCTGATTGATTGGATTATAATTTGAACTACAACAATATTTACTGTTATAGTGTAGAAGATACAACAGCAAACAATGTTATAATTCAAATGATCTCTTACAATATGTGTAGCATGGTACAGCTGGTCCTTGCTTAATAGCTGTCCTGTTTGAAGTTATGATGGTGCTGAAAAAGTAAATTTACAACTTGTTCTTGCGTTATGATCGTTGTAGCATTCCGGTAGTGATGTAATCGTGTAGTGGTGCTTTGCAACTGGAGGGTATTTATAACCATCTCCTTGGCCTACAGTCATGTGATCACCATTGGCGAGTTTCATGGCCAGCTTCTAACAAGCAGAATCAAGGAGAAGCTCTCAGCCAGCATGACAAAGCAGAATTTTCTAGAATGTGTTTGCTGGTTAATTGCAATATAGGAAAGTCATGGGGGGGGGGTTGTAAATAGGAATCAGCAAATAAGATACTGTAGTAGATATTGTTATTATTATACCCTGTTTCTTTTCCTCTATAATCTTTCAGTTATGCTTCCTTTCCCCACATCAAAACCCAGTAACTGCTGTATCTGATTTTCTAGCCAAAAATATATTTGATGTTGGGATGCATGTACAAAGGGTGGGGTGAATATTTTTGACATTGCAGTTTATATCAGTTGCCTATACTCATAGAAAGACTTCAATTCTAAAAAAATAAGACTCAGAAAACGTCATATGCAGCCTTTGCCATGCATACAGCAACCTAATCCAAATGCAAAAAAATACCAGGTAGTCCTTGACTTACAACCACAACTGAGCCCAAAATCTCGGTTGTTAAGTGAGAGATTTGTTGTGAGTTTTGTCCCACTTTATGACTTTTCGTGCCACAGCTGTTAAGTGAATCACTGCAGTTGCTAGGTTAGTAACCTGGTTGTTAAGTGAATCTGGTTTTCCCATTGCCTTTGCTTGTCAGAAAGTTGCCAAAGAGAATTACATGATCCTGGGACATAGCAAAGGTCATAAATATGAACTAATTGTCAAGCATCTGAATTTTGATCACATGATCACATCCTGGGAATGCTGCAAAGGTCGTAAGTATGAAAAACAGTCATACGTCACATTTTTTAGTGCTGTTGTAACTTTGAATGGTCACTAAACAAACTGTTGTAAATCGAGGAATACCTGCATAGTGCGTCTTTTCAAAATTTCCTTTCATATAAGGACATTTCCTTGAAATATGACACATATTCCTGAATCACAGGCTATATGGCCAAAATCTCTATGTCAGGACTTTGTGGCCAGGAACAAAAAGGCAGTTTTGCTAAGGAAGAAGTAGATTTAAACACTGTGGATCTTCATGGATTGCTGGTTATCAATCAGTTGTTAGAATATAGTTTACATCTTTCTCTCCTGTTCTTGGAAATGCTCCATTGCCACAAGTCCTATTAGTTATCTTCTCTTCCTGTAGGTTAACAGCTATTTTCCTTTTCTTTCCAGGATTGTCAAATGTTCCCCAAGTCCTTAAAACGGAGATTACGTTCAACCCTTCTGATCCAAACACATACAAGCCATATGTAACCCAACTTGAAAAATTCTTAAAGAGCTATGAGAGTGTTAATCAGCAAGACATCAATTTTGAGAATTGTGGCAGTGAGTAGATGTTATTTCATTTGCATATATTTTTATTTATTTTGTTTTTGTTTGATCAATCTGAAAGTTTGTTGATGGTCTTAAAGCTAGCAGTCTCTTTTATATTCCATATAAAATATGATATTCAATAATCCAAAAGTGTCCTTGAAAAAGCTTCTTTGTAAAAAGACAAGGTTCCTATAACCTTCAAGCTGCTTATTTCTATGTGCAACCATTTTTAAATATACCCAGACTGAGAAAAATGTATGACCAGTAGCATTATATGCTTTGGTATCGGTGTGTGTTAGGATGCAAAAATGATCCTGTACCATTTGACAGAGATGCAAAACTTTAAAATACATATTACACTGTTACTCTGATTAAAAATAAAATAGAAGAGGAAATCTGTTACTTTCTGGGTCTTAAGGTAGTAACCATTATATATTAATTTAAAATTTTAATTAATTAATTAATTTTTTAAAAGGTGGTATTGACTACAATGTGTATAGGTATTATTGACATCTCCTTCTTTCTCCCCCAATCCACACCATCAGATGAACCTTCTGCTCCCAGAGACAGAGGACCTTTTGATGGGTCTCAAGGTGCCATGCCATCTTGCAAGTTCTTTCGCAGTTGGCTGGGAAATTGCTCTGGCCTAGAAGATCCTACTTTTGGTTACAACGATGGCAAACCATGTGTCATCATCAAACTTAACAGAGTCCTGGGTTACATACCTAAGGCAAGTATTACTTTTCTTTTTATAAGATGCAAGATAAATGTAGGCAACATGATTTCATAGGAAAATAATGTATCTCAGCTTGGACAAGCTTGTTTCTTTCTCTCTCCCAACTGAACACTGTTCATCCAATGGTCATCCGGCAAAGCAATAATTAATACAGTCCTTGAAGAAGTTGGAAATCTTGATAAATAAAATGGTGGTGATTCTATACAATATTTTCACTGATCAACCTCTTAAACAAAAAAGAAATACCTCTGGAAATAACTGCACCTATAGTCTTATTTGATATTTTTACAAATTTTAATATGTGCTGTAATGCAAACAAATATTCTAATACAATCTGATGTCTAGACCATGGTCACTAAACCCTGAAGCCCAACTTCTGGGTGTTTCGGCTAAAACCATCCTTAGTCTTGATCATTTGATTTCTGCTTTTTCAAATGCCCTCCTACCCCAATTTTCTAATGGAAGTTAGAGCTACCTGTATAGAACAAGAGATTGGCAGGTTTGACCACAGAATAGCAGTGATTAGGAGCAGCAAATGCAGAGATAAATGCTACGTATCTTTCTACAACCTCATGTAGATTCCTTTCCTTTCCTTTCCTTTCCTTTCCTTTCCTTCCCTTCCCTTCCCTTCCCTTCCCTTCCCTTCCCTTCCCTTCCCTTCCCTTCCCTTCCCTTTCCTTAGCAGCTTCATTTCCAAACTGTTAGTTAAACAACTGCTTATAGAGGATATAATATATGGGAAATAAATATATTGGATATAGGAGTTATTTAGTAGCAGCAACTTGGAAATTTATTAAAACTTTCTTGAAATGTGTTTCTTTTCTTCAGCTTCCACTAAATGATTCCATCCCACCTGAGCTGCTGGCAAAATATAATCCCTATGTCCTTCCCATTCATTGCACTGCTAAGGTAAAACAGTTAATCCTGTTAATGAAATGTGTTGTCTGTAGGATCTGTCTTAAAGACTGTCCTGGTAGTTCAAATATTACTGCTAGCTTTGATCAGGCATTAGAATCATATCTGTTATTAGTGCTAAAAGACTGTGATGACTTCTGGCTTGTGCGTTAAAAGTTCTCATTCTTAGCTATGGAAACTTTCTTGAGATGAAATTGAGGTAGAAATAACTGTTGCCTTCACATTAGTCTTCAGAGGCATTATGGTGATTGTCATGTAGGAGTGAAATCCAACACAACTAGAGGTTACCATACTGATTTGCTTCTAGGAGGTTCTCCTTTGGATGTATGCACCATCTAAGGTATAGAAGCCATAAAAAGGCATTTTCTGGCATAAGATATGAGGAATATGGTCTCTGGGTTGGTATATAGGTAGCCCTGGCTTACCTACCATTTGTTCAGCACCACATAATTTCGAATGGTTGCTAAACAAATGGTAGTTATGATTGTTCCTTGAAATCACAGCCAATGCAGTGCCCCTATGGTCACCTGATAAAAATTTGGATGCTTGGCAGTTTGCCCACATTTATAAACTCAATATGCACTTCCAACACGCAGAAAAGACTGGGGAAAAGCGCTGACGGCAGATTACAGACCATTGGATGCCCTAGCTGAATTCCCAAGGCAGTCATGAAAACATCTACCAAACAGCATGACATCTTTTATGAATAATATTTATCAGGGACTCGTAGTGCTCAGGTGCTTCAGAGTCCATAGGAGAGCAAAAGTAATATTTTTCTACACTAATGTAAAAGAACAGTGCTATTTTAGGAAAAGATGCAACTGCTTTAAGGCATTGCTAGTTTGCGTCTTTGTGCTTTCCTTCCAGCCAAGAAAGCTGGATGGCAGTTTAGGCTTTATCTAGTAGTTTCTTCCCATGCTTACATACAGCAATATGCACAATATTTTGATTTGAATGGTTTTGAAATTGAAAGATACAGATGGAGCAAAAGCAATATCCCCCCTTCCCATTTTAGATAGATATATATTATCTGTGAAGCTGAAAATTTCATTTAGTTAATGATTGCTAGTTTTTGAAACATTTATTATGCATAATCCTTCAATAATTCTCCTTTTGAAAATAACCTATGTTCTGATGACACATTCACATTCACTGAATACATGGAGAGAAGGACTAGGTTCTTACTTTTGGTTCGATGACTAGCCAGAGTATTCAATTCGATTTCTGCACAAACTGGCCTTTTCTTTGTACTTTGTACTTTGAATTTTTATCTCCTAGCCAGGTATGCCTTCTAGGAGTTCAAGTCCAACAATTCTAGAAGGAATAAGATTGTAGGCACTAAGGAGTATAAGTTGATAGGGCTATATGTGCACAATCAAAAACTAATGTTGTATTTTATGACTATTCATTCTAATTTAATGGTCTTATTGGAGACCAGCTATGTTGCATTGGGAAGCTCATGTTTTAAGATCTATACTGATTTATGCTCTGGATTTATGCTCATTGTTAATCTAAAAAATCTGGAACAATAGGGACTCTAATGGTACAAAAACTTCTCCACATATTAGTTTCAGGTAGACATTCTCTTTGTTATGTGGGTAGATGTTTCTCACTTTTTTGTATCATCCATGTTATTGTAATGTGTGAAAAGGATGTAAAATTTTAGGTATTCAAACACTGTATCATGGAACCATATTTCAAGGCAATTAAGGTTGATGAAGACATGACTATTTTAATTATCACAACTCACTAAAACAGGGGTCTCCAACCTTGGCAACTTTAAGACTTGTGGACTTCAACTCCCAGAATTCTGCCAAGGTTGGAGACCACTGCACTAAAGTGTAGTGTACTAGAAAGATGCATAATTGGATGTTTACTCTGCTAGAGATCAGGTCAAAGTGGAGCACAGGTCAGGAAAGATGTTTTTTTAAAAAAAAATATGTTTCATTTATCTCTTCAGAAAACAGAGGATTTGAACAGAATTGGCCCTGTGGAATACTATGGTTTTGATGGCTATGGTGGCTTTCCTCTACAATACTACCCATACTATGGCAAGCTCATTCAGCAGAAATACCTTCAACCCCTTGTAGCAGTACAGTTCACTAATCTGACTACTGATATGGGGATGCGTATTGAGTGCAAGGCCTATGGTCAAAATATTGGCTACAGTGACAAAGATCGTTTCCAGGGACGTTTTGATATGAAAATTGAGATAAAAAGCAGCTGATCACAAGCAGTTTGTTTCTTCTTTTTTTCCTCTTAGCCATTTAAAAAGTATAAAAAGAGACAAAACTACTAGTCTTGAACAAAACTCATACATATGGGACCTACACATAATCTATATGCTTTACACTAGCTTTCTGCATTTAAATAGATTAGAATGTAAACCTAAAAGTGTAGCAATAGTGACAAAGATATTTATTCTATTGTAAATGATAAAAAACAGAATTGAGCCTTGGGATACGCCCATTTCTACTGTAAATTATGATTCCATAACTGACTTATAGTAAGCAGTGTTTCTGCCCCCTAAGTATTGCTGCCATGTGAATTTTATTTAGTGTACAGTACTTTAGGTGCATTATTCTGGTCATTTTTCAAGCCATGTATTATTGTACTGTTTTCTACTTTCTGTGAGCACAGATTTGCTGCACAAGGTGTAAATACTCAGTGGGATTAAAACTGGCACAGTACTTTTTTCATTTTTTAAATATATTTTTTTTATCCTGCCTTTTTTTTTCATATAAAACTCAAGGCAGCAAACATACCTAATACTCCTTGCTCCTATTTTCCCCACAACAACATCCCTATGATATGAATTGGGTTGAGAGTGTGACTGGCCCAAATCACCCCTCCGGTTTTTCATGCCTAAAGTGGGACTAGAATTCACAGCCCCGATTTCTAGATCAACATCTTAACTACATCAAACTGGCTCTTTTGTTTTGAAAAGGTAAAGGCCCATCTGCGATCTATTCAATAGCACTCCATGAAGCCTTCCCCAACTTCTATTCCTCAGTTGTTACTAAATTTAGTGTGGTGGCAGGGAAAAAATTACTTTAACTTTGAAGCAAAGCTATGGAGAGTAAATGATCATGTACTGTGCTTTGTAGCAATTGGTGTCTTTTTCTTTATCTTTCATCCTATGTTTTAAAATTGTGTGTGAGACCTATGTCAGCCTATCAATTTCACTAGTGATAGGAATGATTATTTTGCTTTGTATATTCTCTTCTTTTCCTGTGAGAAGCATCACATGCTGTGGTGCTGTCTTTATTGAATGTTTTAACCATTTTCATGGTGGAAGAATTTTATATTTATGCAGTTGTACAATTTTTTTTTCTGCAAGAAAAAGGTGTAATGTATAAAAATAAACCAAAGCCACATGTCTGAAAATAAATCTTTATTTTGAACTTTGAGAAGCAATGCAGTTATCCCATCAATTGGTGTTAAATGTTGTCTAAAGTGCGTTGTTCTATGCTCTATGTTCTAATATATGTAACAGCCAGGAGTTCAGTGCTCTTGTGGGCCTTGTATTTCATTCAGGTTTAAACACTGGACAATAAATGAATAAACATACATTTCCCATTCTGCAGTTTGTTTTTTCTAAGCAGTTTTACTTCACAATGTTCTGTTAGCTGTCTAAGATACTGAAAAAGTATTGCACCTGCAAAAGAAACCAAAACAAAGTAATTGTAGAGCATGCAACACATTGACAGAATCATAATTTGGTTCTAGCAAGCTACCATTCTATCCATCCCTTTCTAAGTTTGCTTGGGGGAAAAAATGAACAGGAAGGATTGGCTGAAACCCATCACAAATTCTACTTGAACACTGTGGAATTTATGGTTTTGATTCATAATAGTCTTGGAGAAATAATTATTTTAAAAAAATTTATTATATATGGCTTCACATTTCACGCTAAGCTGCACATGTGGGTAGTCCAGGGCCACATCAGAATTTGTAAGAGCCGGCAGCAAACACAGTGTTAATGCACGTGATTATGAGAAAAAATCCCTATTTGTCAAATGGTCCCAGACTTCTCAAGGCTGCCTCAACACTATATGAGAATACCTCAGAATGAAGCAAAAAATTGTGTAAATATGGGGTGACCACTTGAAAAATCACAGCAACTGCTCATATTCTTGTACTGTACTCTACGAGCATTGTACCCATGGTACAATGGGTACAACCTATTTAAGCAGGTAAGGGCAGATGGTCTATCACATGAAATCAAAAAAATAACACACTTTCCCCAAAGTATTATCTTTCATAGTTCTGATATCCAACTGCTATGTTGCACTGCAATATAGAAGACTATGACAAGGATGTGAACTTTGCATAAATCATGCAAAAATCATGCAAAAAGAGCCATCGAAAAGGTCACTGAGGAGATTGTAGAGCGGGACATGACTTGCTATGGTGATTCCTTAACTGGCAATGAAAGACAAAGTGCATCAAGGCGGATATCCAATTTGCAAATCTCTGAATGGAAGGCCCTTTGTTTGGAGAAGAGTTGCTTTCTTTCCAGGAGAATGGCCACGATTTTCATGAATATCCAAACCATGGAAATAATGCTGAAGTTGTGTAGCAAAATGTAGGCCATAGCAAAGACAGATTGAGGTGAAATGCCATTACAATTTTTTTTTAAAATGTAATTATTTTGTGCAAAACAAAAAAGGTTACTACAGTTAGGCATGATGACAGGGGGCTGAAGTGATAACCAAAAAGATAATTTTAAAATGCAATAATTAGAAGTATATAATAACTACAGGGTCAATAACCTTGTTGACAAAGAAGAACAAGGGACTAATAAGGGTAGGGCAGTAACAATTTAACTGGATGTCACAAGTTCAAATGCTCCTTAAGGAAGCATTTTCTTTCCCTCTAGGGAGGAGAGAAAACACGGTAACATGTACATGCAATTCCAAAACAGCTGCCAAACCCATTCACAACTAAGAAGAAGACTAAGGACTAACACATATTCAAATACTAGCAAGAGAGGACAAGTAATAGGATTTATATCCTGAAAAAAAATGAAAGAAGAGTATTTGTTCTGTTTTGCCTTATTGCACATGGCAGGTTCCCTGGAATTAGAATCTATTATTTCTTCAGAGAAGCTAAAAATAGATCTGGTTAAAGTATCAATTCTACCAAGAAAAGGAGAGTTGGCGAAACAGAAGGCAAATAGGCTATCAGCCACTTATATAAAAAACAAGTTTATTTCCCTAATCAAGGGATATTTGGATACAGTACTCAGGTACAGCACAGTAATACTAACCATAAGGTGTCCCAGTTAGGAATGGGAATGAAGGGAAGCATAAAGGGTTTGATCCGGAGGAGGAGGAGGAAGACATTTCCTAGCCCTGCTGAAAAAGATACTACTATACCAATGATGGCTAACCTTTTCCAGACCGAGTGCCCAAAGCACGCCCGAACCCCCAAAATTCAATGTGCGTGCAGCCCCCACACATGTGCCCCACCCCCGTGCATGCGCACATGCCCCCCGCACACCACTCCCACACGCATGTGCCCCATGCATGCGTGCGCCCCCGTCCCCCCACGCATGCATGCACGGCCACACGCCCCCGGGCCCCCGCACAGCAGACACCTGATAACCAGCTGGCCGGCGGGAGGTGCACACACATGCGTGGCAGAGCTGAACTGGGGACACAGATCGCATGCCCACAGAGAGGGCGCTGCACGCCACCTGTGGCACATGTGCCATAGGTTCACCATCAAGGTACTATACATTTTCCTATGATGCAGAGTTCCATTGTCAAGGAACTCCATTGCACATATAGTGACCAAATTACTATAGAGGGCATCTATAGGAACTGCCAAAATAATAGTATTTTATAACCTGGAGAGTTGAAACAGGACCAGTTGTCTCATTCTTTTAGTCAAGAATTCACGTCATCACATTTGGTAGCTGGTAATTGGAAGCATCCTACGCAGGATGACTGATATCTTTAGATATCTTAATGCCGGGTGTGAACAACCAGATTCATACTTAAATAATTCGATTACATTTTTATTGCTCAAGCCTATGGACAATAAACTTCTCAGACTGCACCTGTATAAGACTAGATAAGGTTCAACAGCATTCAAGGGGGTCAGACTTTGTCCTCTTGTGCCCACATGAGGATTCCAGACTAATTCCCCATTTGACGACTCTGCCTGGCTTGGCCAGTCTCTTTGTAAATACCCTTTGAAAATCTGATCGTCATCAGAAGAATAGACTTCTAATATATACTCCAATATATTTGGAAGTCATCGAATTGGGTTTAAAGCAATTACACTCAATTTTAAAATACATACAGCTTCCTCTTAAAAAAAAATACTGTATGCTATCTTGAGTTTTATATAAATAGAAAAGCAGGATATTTTTTTTAATTTGATTTATATTGATTAAGTTTATAGGATATAAACTTAAATCAATCAATAAAAATGGGAGCTCTACTATAATCTGGCCTTTCAACAGCTATTCGCACTAGCTCAGGAGTGGTAACCTTTGCTTTGCTTTTTAAGTTCCCCAAGTCATATCAATAACTACTATTAAAAACTGACTCCCACCATTTTGAAAAAAAGATGACATACAAAAAAGCCATGAAGAACTAGATGGGTTAAACTAAGCTCAAAATAAACCTTAGTTACTGTTTATACAGAAGCAATTGACTCTATGGTCATCTTCTTCCTGAAGAAACAAGTTTGTGGAAGTTCTAGATTTCTACTACTAGAACCACAGGTAGAAGCCATGGAAAGAGGCAAGGCCTTTACTTAGCTTGCTGTGACATACCAGCTGTGCACCTAGCTGGATTGAGAACCCTTGGTAACCCTAGTATTAATCATCATGCAGACTACATGTATCTGCCTTTAAACCAACCCAGGAAATGATATGAGGATTGCTATCCAAATTAAATAGCAATTTAGCTGCATTGACACACACATATACATGTCTACGGTTACAAGAAATCAGGGGACATTGACCCAAAGGCAAGTGTTTCATGATGGCCTCTACACTGTGAAATACCTTACTTACTTACATCTTACTTACTGAACTTGGATGGTTATGAATATTCCCTCTTTAGACGGGTGTTCAATTTTTCTATAACTTGATTATTAATGCTGCTGTAGAGTTTTTATGATGGACAGGCGTCAGCTGGGCTGGATTCCACTGGCATTCGTGTAAGGAGGTTGTTGATTGTTTTAATCTTGTATTGTAAACTGCTTAGAGTCTTGGTGACATATAAATATGAAATCTGTAGTATGAGCCCTAAAGTAAGCTTGTAAATTGAGCTTAACTCTCCGTGACTATATGGAAATACCTATGTTTCTTCCTTGGCAGTAATACAAAAGCCTTTTCCCCAAAAATATTAAGGATTTTTTAAAAATTCAACTCCCCAATCTAACCTACAAGCCCTCAGATTACTTGATAGATCCAAAACGCAGTCTCTTTCATCTTGCTTAGCTAAGGTCAACTAGATTTTTCTGCCTGTTCTGATAGAAACAAGGAAAATATTTCAGCAATTTGGGGGAAAGGAAGAGCCTCAGTACATGGTGCCCAAAGTGGGGAGACCCATGCCATTAGCAAATGCTGAATTAATCACAGGAATTGTGACATTTATAGTAAATCTAATTTTAATCTCTTGTATGCAAACAAGGATTTTACTTATTTTGGTAGTTCCTATTATCAAAATTAGAAATTATGATAAAGCATATGAAATAGCTGCACAAGCAAACATCATCTCTGCTGAATTGGCTGTTTTTACATTTTTCTAAAAATCAAATGTGATTTTTTCCCCCCACTTGAACTTACACAAAACAAAATAACATATCAAAATCAATATAAAACAAGACGATTGCATTGTAATCACAACAATACAAATAGAAAAGCCAAAAAAAAAAAGCCCAAATGCTATAGTGAAATAGAAATCACAGAAGCAATTAGTGAAAACAACAGAATGGGAAAAAGTTTAATAGTAGGGATATTGAAAAGGGAGAGTTGTGACGAGTCTGACACTGCCTTCAACAGCCCCCAAAGCATTTTCTCTTCTCTCTGAACATTTAAAGCGTTGGACATAGAATTGTACCGCTCAGTTTTAGCCCTTGATGAAAGGCTGTATTGCAACATCACCAGATGACTGGGAAGTACAATGGCCTTGTTATTAATTATTTAAAGGCCTCTGAAAGGGGAAATGTGGTACGAAGGAAGAGCCCATGACAGACCGGGCATTGCTTCACTTCACATGATTGATTCTCTTGTTTTACTAATAAGAATGCACTAATAAGAATGCTGAGGAAAGAAGAATAAATTCCACATTGCTTAAAGACTCGGTTGCATACTTGCTCCGAAGTTAATATGTAACAGCACCCTTTAGCTGCAATCCTAAACCCACTTACCTGGGTGGGCATAAGCCTCACTGAATTCAGTGGAGCTTACATCTGAACAGACACAGTACAGCACTAAGAGACCTTTGTTCAGGATATGGCATAATGGAATGCTAGGCAAAGAAAGTGTAGGCTTTCAGCCAGTTGAAACTTTGTAGAGTTAATCATTTACACACTTCGTTATCTTT